TAGTCTTCGGTATTAGGCATTCGTAATAGGCAATACAATAATTATATAGTAGTTATTTTGTCGTGCACAGCTGCTGTGTTGCAGTGCTGCAGTGCTGCAGTGCGCGCACCACAAACCCACTGAACGGGAAGTTTCGATACTGTTCGAATTCAAATTCATTTATTTGTCTGTGATGGTTTTATGACACCTTTGTGGCGTTGCGAGAGTGTACATATTTTGTATCACTGGCCTTTTTATATTTTCCATTTAGACGCTTATGCACTAATTTGTACACTAGACAATCACACAGGCTAACGAATAGCAAAATCCAAATGATAACTTTAACAAGTCTAGTTTAAAAAAAAAGTCATTTTCATAATTATGTCTCAAATGATGAAGGTATCTTCGATTCTGAACTCGCTTTTACATTGCGATACAGATCCTCTCTCATACACGAGTTCTGAAACCATTTACCAAGAACGAATCTAGATAAGTCACGAAAGTGCCTTCAGCTCGCGATGCTACAGTTGCATTAGTCATAAGGCCTCTAAACGTTTCATTTTATTTATTTATGTCATTCATGCAGCTATTTTTACAGAACCATCCCAATACAATAGTGTAGTACTCCATAACGCCACAATCACATGACATACCTAACATTATAACTAAAAATAATAATTTGATTATTGAAAATTAAAGCCAATTTATAATAAACTACAATAATGAATAATATACAATGACATTTAATTAATTGTGTACAAAGCAAAAACAGTGTTGTCTTCATGAACTCGCTCTCAAAACAAGTAAAAATGTCTACTTCTTCAGCTACTCGATTTAGTGTGTGAATGGTGCGAGTAAGAGGCGCTTTGATGAACAGCTTTGTCCTGTCTCGCGGCTCCGCCAGCAGCCGTGGTCGTCGGCGTCGGTGCACGTACTCGTTCGGCACGCATAGACACAGTGAATGCAGCACTCCCGGGTTTGAAATTTCACCTCGCAATACTCGCACTATGTAACTTGCGAGAGCCAAGTCGCTCCGTGGTTCCCACTCGTTGTATCCAACCATACCCAATACAAATAAGGTCGGATACATCAAGGGATAAAAAGGGTATACCCCTTATAGTCTCATGTACAAGGCTGGTGAATTTATTCTGGACACGCTCGAGCATGGGATTATACTTCGCTTCGTACGGAGCCCATATGGCTGAGTTAAACTCTAACTGACTCCGTATCAAAGCGTAGATGAGATGACTAAATGTTCATGTTAAAGGTAAACAGATAGCTTGTCCCATAAATGCGTAAACGAATTAATGGATTAATTTTATACTTCTGATGATTGTAATTTTTAAGTTTACTGAATGTCACGATGTTTTTACTACCATTATATTAAATTTTTGTGGTTTTACCTGTTTATTTATTTAATATACCTGTTTGTTATAATTATTAATACAAAGATCGAAGACTTAGAAAAATTCGACCCGGCGCCTTCCAGCAATCCGTGCTAGACGCTCTGCCAATTAAACCACCTTACGGATTTTCCTAAGCGCTATAATTATGATTTGCAACATGTTTATTTTTGGTCCGAACCCAGCCCAGCCCAGGACCGAAGGATTTTTTCTGATTGTTTCATCTTTGTATTAATCATTGAACTTCTAATAATTGTTAAATTTATGTGCTACCAATAATAATGCCACAGTAAATGCGAATTTTCCTCGGGAGATAGTACAAAAATAACAACTAACGCAATGTTTCATATACTTATGTACTTATTTATTTTAGACTGAGTCAGCAGCTCGCGAGCCCACTTATTACACCAGAATCAACTAATTTGTAGGTCTATAAAGGAAATTGTGCCCATTATATTTCAATTTCTTTGGCCAGTGTTCGCAATAATTTGTCCTATAGAGATTATATAATTATGTGGTCGGCCGTCACGTATCATTCAGTGGAAGTCCATTGCACGTAAACTTACTTTGTACGTGTTGATTCCTACTCATTAGTATTCAAGTTTTCCAATTTGTACATTGTACAATACAAATGAACTTCGTCAATGAGGAAATACATAATTCTGAGACCAAGAACAAAGCGCACAATCTTGAAAAGGTGACCTTGTTGTGATGTGGCATACTCCAAGGAGGACAGTAACGACTGTGTAGCGGTAAGCTGTTTCGGAACGAGCCTCTAATGTCTTAACATTTCATCGCCTAATTGAGGAACTATAGTGAGAGAAAATGTCTGCGTTTATTGTTATTTAATGAAATAAATGAAATTGGAGTTAAAGTTCAATTGCCACTAGACATTGGATATAGTACAAGTGTACTGTGCACAGGACAAAAAATAATATAATACTTATATTTTTAACAATGTCTATCTAATTACATTTTTATCGAATTGATATTCAATTATTTTTTGTGAAATTACTCCACTAGTTTGTTGATGTCTATCTAGTTCGATTCACGTCGAAAATGAAGCAAGTGCTATATATACACACACACGCACGCGCGCGCACGCACACACACACACACACACACACACACACACACACACACACACACAC